CCCAAACCAGTCTGGGATTCTATGATTAAAATATGTATATAAATTCTAGTTAAAATTTTTCTTAAAGTTTTGAAGCAAATTTGACTTTAAGCTTCTGACACCAGTTTAGGAGGAAGACCATTATGAAGTCTAACATCTTTGTGGTGACTGCAGCTCAGCTTGCCAGCTTGATTCCTTTACGACTGAACACCGATATGCATTATCCAGAGCCTTAAAATGAGAACAAGGCCGACTGCGAAAAGTAAAAAGGTAGGAAGTGAAAATCAGGAGTTGGCAGGAGCCAGCCTTGGGGAACAGAACATCTTCTGTGCTGGGAAGCCTCAGAAAAAGCAGTCGGTCAGTGCTTCTGGCAGGATGTGAGGCAGTGAGTACTGTGAGGGGGAATATGACTTGAAGCAGGCAAGTCTCTGCTCCTGTCAGCCCCGCAGCTCTGGCCCTGCACAGACACGGATGCTCGCTGACTGGGCAGAGCTTGGTGTGTGGGCACCCAAGTCTCCAAACAGTACAACCCACTGAGGGACTGATAGTATGAAACTCATCACAAAACACAAATAATTCTCTCTGATTCCATATTAAAGTTATTATAAGCTTAAGGCATTTACACACCTTCCCCAGAGTCTCTGACTACACAATCATCTTTTGTTTTGTCAGTAATAGCTTCTATTTGCATCAGAAAGGGGTGAAATTTTACAACTGCTACATCATTAATCCCCACAATCTACCCTGAGAGAAGGGAAGAGACAGAGCCACCACCGTCCTGCAATGAATTTGCCTAATTAGGCTGGTACACAAACAAACAAACATGCAAAGTAAATCATCACTTTACCAGCAAGCTTTTCTGTCACGTCTTGTTTTGCTTTTCCATTCAGAAACTGGGCTTTTGTGCAGAATGGCTGGAGAAGCAAAGAGTTGTCTACATGCAAGGAACAAAACACGTTAAAATTCTTAAACAGAAAATTAAAGGAGTCTGGAAATTAACACAATATGGAAAAATGCAAATAAGAACCTTACTTATGATATATTAGCTTCAAAAAGCACAGTGATGTATTGAAGGGCATAAAAGCATAAAAAGATACCCTTAACAAACCCTAACTCCTCAAATCTGGTAGAATTATTGAAAATACTAAGATTCTGCTCCAGAGCCAAAAGAGTTGAGGAAGGGAAGTAGTTGTGGCACACACAAATCGCCAAGAATCGAGTTCTTTGACTAGTTTAAGAGGTTCAGCA